TAAGATTTGAATCTAGTCTGATACCAAGATTTGTTACATAAGAGGAATGGGGAATGTCCTGACCAAAAATGGAAATACTGCTAAGGGAAAGAGACTGTTTGATGTGGGGTGAAGATAATGATAGCTTCAGTTTTATTGCTGTTTAGTTGAAGAAAGTTTGCAGCCATCCATGCCCTCATCTCCTCCATGTTCAAAAACATCTGTAATAATAAAACTGGTGATACAATCAATGATCAGAAAGAGTTATCAGTTAGTATTTGCTTTAATATATGTGCTAAAATATCAAACAACTAAATAACAGAGGTGTGACATTGTGGCATCATCAAGTCATCTCCATGTCATGTTTTTGTTCTGCTCAGAAATTAAACCAGGTGATTTCAATCAGCACAGTGAATTAACCTGGTTCAGTGGCTGAGCAGAAAGAAAACATGACACGGAGATGACTTGATGATGCCACAATGTCACACCTCTGCTAAACAACATTAACATGATAACAGTGGAAGGTCTTTCTCCCAAGAGGACCACCAGGTAAAGCCTCTCCTGACCTGGACACCTGCAGTCCTAAACAGAGAAAATCAGACCACAGGTGACAAAAAGGCAATAAACACATTTTTAAATTTATCTACATGAGAAGATAAAAATTATATTCTTCACACAAACTATTTTAACTTCATTAAATCGTGTCAGCTGTGTAAATCCCTGAATGTAAAACATTCTCTCTCTCTCTCTCTCTCTCTCTCTCTCTCTCTCTCTCTCTCTCTCTCTCTCTCTCTCTCTCTCTCCCACACTCTCTCTCTCTCTCACACTCTCTCTCTCTAGCTGATCAACTCTCCCAGAGACTGAAGTGAAGACATTTTTACTGCAGAGCCTCAAATATTCTCCTCACACACCAGAACAACAACAAGCTAGCTCTGCTAGCAGCTTCCGGTTTCTGCTTCTTCCAGTGGTAGGTGACCAGCGTAAAGGTACTTTAGCGCCACCTGCTGGATTAGAATAAAACACCTGTGTGTTCAGAATAGGACTAACAAACACATAGTTTCCGGAACTGCGCTGCTCTGGGTGGCTGCATGTTGGAGTAGCTCTGTTGACTATATGTAAGTTTTGCCTTTTCTTGGGCATTTTTTTCTTCTGGTTTCTCAGGTGGAACAGTATTTTTTGGACATTTTACTTTTCTGTTTCTGGTGCTGTGAAGCTTGGAGGATTTTTACTGCTATTTTTCACTTTTTGAGCATTTTTTATGATGTGTAACCATGGCAACAAGCTGCTTTACAATCGGGAGCAGCTGATTAACATTGGGAAGGCTGAAATAATACCTCAACTGAAGCCACAAATCCCAAATGAGCTAAAACGCAAGAAGTGTGGGTGCAGAGCGGGAGCAAAACGGAGACAGAGAAAGAGGAAATTCAAACCATCTCTTCCATCGATCATAATGGGCAATGTGAGATCACTGGCCAACAAGATGGATGAACTCCAAGCCCTTTCAAGGACTCAGCCAGAGTATCGGCAGTGTAGTGTTATGTGTTTCAGTGAGACGTGGCTGCAGGAACATATCCCCGATTCCAGCGTCTCTCTGCCAGAATTCCTGACTGTACGAGCAGACAGAGATCTGAAGAGGGGCGGGAAAAGAAAAGGAGGTGGAGTGGCAGTGCTTGTCAACAACAGATGGTGCCATCCAGGTCATGTTTCAGTGAAATGTCGTCTCTGCAGCCCAGATGTTGAGCTCTTGGCAGTGAGTTGTCACCCATATTATTTGCCAAGAGAGTTCACCAGTGTTGTCTTGGCAACCGTTTATATTCCACCTTCAGTCATTGCTGAAAATGCATGTGATGCCATCAGTTCTGTTGTCGCTAAGCTACAAACCCAGAACCCCAATGCATTTGTGGCTATATCTGGTGATTTTAATCATGCCTGGTTCTCTGCTACACTTCCAACATTTCAACAGTTTGTCAGCTGCTCCACCAGAGAAAACAAGACATTGTATTTGTGTTATGCAAATGTAAAGAATGCATACATGTCCAAAACAAGACCTCCTCTGGGACAATCAGATCACAATCTTGTTTTTCTCTGCTCAGAATACAAACCACTTGTTCAGAGGCAACCTGTGACAAGAAGAACTGTGAGAAAATGGTCACAGGACGCTGAAGAAGCCCTGCAGAGTTGTTTTGAGACCACAGATTGGACGACTCTCACAGCCTAACCCTAACCCCTTGAACACCCAGATGGTCTGTTACACATACCTCTCTGGTTCTGATCAAGTGGCCAAGCAGTCAACAATATTTATGTACAAACAGTCCCAAGTCAATAAATATGTCTGTGGTCCCAAGAACTGGGTGTGAGTGTAGCCTCTTTGTGGTCCCCCACAACATGATGAACACGGGCTTTAAAAACTCTGGACATCTCCTGTGATTTAGATTCGTCATATATTTCCCCCAGTTTCAGCTGAGTGTCTCATTTAGTAACAAAACATGATCTAGGTCTAGAAGCAGACTCTTGTTCATCATTGTTTATTTTTGTGGAACCCCCCTTCCTTTTGTCTCTTCCTTTCTCTTCAGGGCCGGCTCTGGGTAATTTGGTGCCCAAGGCGAGAGTGCCCATTCCCCCCCCCCCCCCCCCCCCCCCCCGCCTCTCACCCAAACCCAATTCCACACATTGGAATAAGCAACTCCACAGTTATTCCTTAGTTACTAATTTTTTATTTTAAATATTCACTCAGCAACTCTTTAAAGTCAACAGCCTAAAGAATAAATGTAAGCTTGAAAGATGAGTAACCTGGGAATATTACAATAACCGACAACTCAAAATGTTGTGCAAATGTCATTGGGGGGATGCAAAATCAAAAGCAACATTAAACTGTGCAATCAAAAGTAAAACTCAAATATCAAAGTGTCATCATAAAGAAAGTTCTACTTTCCATTTTGTTCAACTACTGTGGCCAGTCAGCAGGATCCATGGGGCCAGCAGCTCATATATGTTCACAGACATCTGTTGAACCTGATGATGGCTTCAGACTGTTGGATTGGAGCACTGAGTCTGCTGGTGTTGTGTTCTTCTTCTGTGAGAAAATAAACACACACACACACACACACACACACACACACACACACACACACACACACACACACACACACACACACACACACACACACAAAGCAACTTAACCCTCTGATGCATGAATTAAGAACAGTGCCACTTTCACATTCAATATTCCTCGGTCATGTGCAGTGATGCTTTTCACTATTTTTAATATTACTGGACTTTTTATTTTATTGATCTTTTTTAATCTGTTCTATGAAAACATGAATAAAATTATCAAAAACAGGTGGAAGTGGGGAATATTTGAAAAAACTTATGTCTCACTCTCAGGTGCTCTTCAGCATCAAATAAATTGTAGAATATGAGGAAGAAGATCCGGTGATCTGAGGCACTCTGAGGATTTCATTTATTAAACAAGGAAACACAGACGCGTTTCGGTACGACCTTCTTCAGGGCATAAACCTTTATAACTTGAAGATGACTCACTAATGTCACAAAAACTAACGTCCATCCTTTTTTTTACAAATTTACAGCCTAATTGACAATAACATCTTAAGGAGACAATTTCAGATGTGTAGGTTGAGATTATTTAATATTCTCAATGCTAAATCAATGCTGCACTGATTGTGCCAAAAACAAGTGTCTGGTGTGGATTTAAATAAATTAATTTTGCATATCGATATATGTGTTAAGCCGTTTAATTTGAAAAAGTCCGTTTCTACAGCTGATTTACAAAAGCCTAACAAGTAACTTACTCACCTGGTTCTAGATGCTGAGATTGTAGCTCAGTAAATGTGCTGCTGCTGCGTGATGCCTGGATAGAAGACGCTGCAGCGTAAACAAGAAAGAGACGGTATAAGATGTCATGCTGTGTTTAGGCAGTTCTCACTCCCCGCCGGACCCGGCGGCAGCGGGGGAGTCCCCGCCACGGCCACAGCGGTGCCGCCCGCCCGATGTGTCGGACAAAGTTGAAAATTTGCTACACCCACACCTAACGTTCTTCTGATATACAAATATTAAATTCATATTGTATGCGTACTTAAAACTTGAAACAACGTTCATAAAAGGCTGCAACCAAGCTCCAAAAACCAGTAAAAAAATCTTACATTCTTCATCATCACAGTGAGACTCAACATTGTCTCACTGCATCTGGACACGACGATTCAAAAGTAAAATGAATGGGTTAAAGTTACAGATACTGTATTGTGAATGTAAACAGCTAGCGAGGGTCCGTGCGTGGACCGTGCGTGGCAGGAGAGGCATGTTAGCTACAATGCTAACGCAAAAAGTTCCTTTGCAAAACTTATAAAGTCTACATACCTCTGCTTTGGGCCCGTTTATATTCTTCTTCCTTCCTTCGCTTTCGGAATGCTGATCCCGATGGCTTAGGCGTTCTTTTCCTCGTAAAATATCAAACGTTTAAACGCGACGACAACAGGATGTCCTTCACAGTGCCACCCACACACGTAACTATGGCAACCTTAACGGTCAAATGCTTTGGAGCGGTGGCTCAAGCGGGAGCCGGCGGGAGCTCGAAATGCAGCCAGATCATTAGAATTTAAATATTGATGTTTTAATTTCATGTCATTTCAAAGGGGAATTTTGAGTATGCAGAGTGCATTTCATATTACAAACATGAATTTAATAAACTTTTTTTTTTTTTTTTATTTTGCGCCCTATCCATCAGATGGCGCCCCAGGCGGCCGCCTGTGTCGCCTGTCGACAAAGCCGGCCCTGTTTCTCTTTCACCTCTGTCTCCATGTCTGGTCGGAATTACAAAGCATTCAAAAAACAATAACAATAAAGTTTTAAGTATCAGGCGTGACATTAAAGCAGCAGCTTTGATGCTCCACCTGAGAGTAAATCTGTAAGGATTGTCGCCAGCATTCAGACATTAATTCTGTTTGCTTCACAGCTAGACAGGACACGGGGGAAAAAAGTAATAAAACGTGATTGTGAACGCTCCCTCAAGTCAAGTCAAGTTTATTATATAGTCCATTTCATACACAAAACAGTAGCCAAATGTGCTTTACATAGTTAAAACAATCACAAGTGAAATGAAATAGTTAAAATATCACATCATGTTGTGTAAAATAAAATCAAATATTGACACAGAACATAGTACACAAAAATAAAAGCATATAAAGTACAATTATTTACTTTAAAATATAGAACAAAGATAAAACAGCACAGAATAGGTATCAGTGTTGGGCAAGTTACTTCAAAAGCGTAATGCATTATTTATTACTTGTTACCCTCATTTTAAAGTAATTCATTACATTACAATATCACTGATTTTAAAATGTAAGGCATTACACTACTTTTGCATTATTTTAAGTTACTTTCACCAATACAACTTCAATATGAATCTAGTAATCTGATGCTCAGTGAGCTCATGATATATATGTGGAAAGTGACGTGGTGTCTGAGCTAGGATTGCTGTTAAAAGCAGTCAGATATAATAACAGTGCTTTAAAATGACTGTTTATTACATAAAAGCAACAACAATCTTTACTCTCAACACGCTGCCATCTTAGATTAACTGAGCAGCGAGTGGGGTGGTGGGGGCTCCAAGCCTATATTTGCCTTGGTCCCCAAATGCCTTGATACGGCCCTGGATGTGGGACTGACTTCTGGGGTGATCTGATTCTATCACATGTATAAATATTAAATGCTTATATATTATTGCTTTTCACTGGTAAAAATGTGTACTGGGGATAAATCTACCTACTTTTTTTCTTTTCAAGCACTTTGTTTTGTTTTCTTGATTTTATTTGAATAATTTCCTGCCCTTTCTCTCTCTAACCTGCATGCTGCATGTTTTCTCCGTCTTCCAGAAAAAACAGGTTCCTAGACTTCCTACTTTCTAACGATCAGCCAAAGGGATCTTCACATGCGCGGCGCTCCAGCAGTAATGAGTTGAAATCACCGGGGCACAGATTATGAACTCAGCTGAGGCAAAGCACGTCAGAAAAGCACAAAATACCAGAGAATATGCGCTGATATGAACGATCGCAAGTGAATTCTTTTGTTTTAGTGGAGCGATTTTGTGAATGTTACAGCGGCTGCGTGCAGGACGCAGCTTGAGTAGCTGAGCTGTTACCGCTGCGTCCTCTCTGCCCCCAAAGCTGAGTCCATAAATGACGTAATATATGCAGATACTGGATCTTTCTTCGGGTTTCCCGCAATTCGAATTTTTAAGGAACACATCTTGATTCTGGGGTTAAAAATGCATTGTAATTACCGCGTTACTGACAATTGTACCGAGTAAATATTACCATTTTCTTTCCCTGTAATGCCTTACATTACCACATTACAGCAAAAAGCAATGTATTACAGTAATTAATTACTTTTGTATCGCATTACTCCCAACACTGATAGGTATACATATAAAATACATATAAAATAAATTTAACACAATACAGATACAGACCTAGTAGAACAAAGATGCAAGGATAGGTTAATGGAAGGCATCATGAAAAAGTTTAGTTTTTAATTAGTTTTCAGACCTGTGGAGAAAAAAACCTACAAGATGCAGAAAAAAGCATAAACCTCCAACCTTCATATTGTCAGCAGTAAACGCAGCAAAACTTAACTTTCATGACCAAAAAACCCATTAAAATTATTCAGTAAATCAGGAGAGCAGGAACAAGTCTTATTTCTGACTTAACATTTTTTATTTCAATTCAAACTATTTTGACTTGTGTGTTTTCATCACATTTAGCTTGTATTTTATATAAAATATCATCAGCTTTACAGGTTAGCTGGTTCATCTGGTTCTCCTCCATCCACTTCTTCTTGGAGTCACTTTGTTCAGCATGTTGTCTGGAAAAGCTCTTTGCCTCACAAACGTTTCCTCTCCATCAAGCTGAAGCCTTCCTTTTGTGACAGGGTGAGTGTGACTGTATCCAGATTGATCATGCGCCCTGCTGACCTAAGTGATTTTGAAGGGTGATACGTTTCAAACATCTCTGCTATATACATTTGATCCAAGATGGCGCCGCAGACGGCTGCCTTGGTACTTTGGTGCGCTGTGATTGTTCTGTTTTTGTGTGTAAATTGCGTATCTGGGTTCTCCTACTCAAGAGAAGAATTCATAAGTTACAACACTATGATTCCGGTGGACTTAACCACGTTTTTTGTTGCATCCGGGGCCGATTCAATATCAGCTTTGATCAGGAAAGTGAGAAGCAGGAGGAGAGGTAAACGAGCGGGCGCGCTCGTGCGTCTGAGGAGACGGGGACTGCGCACGGCTCTACCTGGGATCTTCCTCTCTAATGTGTGCTCACTCCGCAACAAAATGGACGAGCTGACCCTGATGAGGAACATAAACAGACTTCTCCTCACCTGGGGTTCTATGCTTCATTGAAACATGGCTCAGTGAGGACACCCCCGACTGCGCGCTCCAGCTGGAGGGGTTTCACCTCATCCGCGCAGATCGGGAAGCGACTCTCTCCGGCAAGACCACAGGTGGAGGTGTGTGTTTTTACATCAATAATGGTTGGTGCACAGATGTCACAGTGATCGCGCAGCATTGTTCTCCATCTCTGGAATATCTTTTCACAAACTGTAAACCATTTTACTATCCGCGGGAGTTCGCCTCATTCAATCTAGGCGCTGTTTACATCCCACCTGACGCGGACGTGCACGAGGCTCAGCGTGCGCTCGCGGAAGAGATACTGTGCATGGAGCGGACGTACCCGGACTCCCTCATCATTGTACTTGGAGACTTTAGCAAAGCTAATCTGAGCCAGAAGATTCCCAAATATAAACAGTATATCAAATGTCCAACCAGAGAGGGGAAAACCCTGGACCACTGTTACAGCACAGTAACAGGGGCCTATCATGCAGTAGCGCGTGCTGCGCTTGGACTCGCTGACCACGTGACCATCCATCTGATCCCAGCTTACAAACAAAGGCTAAAACTCTCCAAGCCTGTTGTGAAGTCAACAAGACAGTGGAACACAGATGCCGCAGATGAGCTTCGCGCATGCTTTGAGACCACAGACTGGGAGGTAATGAAGGCCACCTCAGACAGTTTAGATGAGTTCACAGATACCGTCACCTCCTACATCCACTTCTGTCAGGACAGCATCGTACCATCACACACCAGGGTGAGTTATAACAATGACAAAGCCTGGTTTACCCCTAAACTCAAACAGCTGTGGTTAGAAAAGAGAGATGCATTCAAAAGGGGGGACAAGGACTCCTACAGAGACACTAAATACAGGTTCAGCAAAGAATTGGTCAAAGCAAAACACCAGCATCATGACAAAATGCAGCAGCAAATCTCTGAAAACGACCCAACCTCTGTGTGGAAAGTTTCAGGAACATCACCAACTACAAACCCAGAACCCCTGCCTCCACCGATAATCTGCTCTTGGCAAACGACCTAAACAATTTCTATTGTCGGTTTGATGAGCCATTAGGCAGGCCTCACTCCTCGTCCAGCCCCATCAATAGAGACATTGGTCAGCCACTCCCCACTACAGAGCCATCACCATCACTGTGGAATTTACCTTCATCACCCTCACCCTCACTCCCCACTCATGAGGTGTTCACATCACACACCTCCACCACAAATCTACACATTCATGAAGCAGAAGTAAAGAAGCAGTTCAGGTCTCTTAACACACGAAAAGCCCCGGGCCCTGATGGCGTGGCTCCTGCCACTCTAAAGCACTGTGCTGAAGAGCTGGCCCCAGTGTTTACGAGCATCTTCAACTCCTCACTGGAGGAATCTCATGTGCCTGCCTGCTTCAAGATCTCCACCATAGTCCCTGTCCCCAAGAAACCAAGAATCACTGGACTAAATGACTACAGACCTGTGGCTCTGACATCTGTGGTCATGAAGTCATTTGAGCACCTAGTTCTCCCCCACCTCAAGACCCTCACAGTCCCCCTCCTGGACCCCCTGCAGTTTGCATACAGAGCAAACAGGTCTGTAGATGACTCAATCAACATGGCTCTACAATTCATCCTGCATCATCTGGACTCCCCAGGTACCTATGCCAGGATATTGTTCGTGGACTTCAGCTCTGCATTCAACACAATCCTGCCAGACCTCCTCCAAGACAAAATGTCCCAGATGAACGTGCCTGACCCCATCTGCAGGTGGATCACTGACTTCCTGACAGACAGAAAACAACAAGTCAGGCTGGGGAAGAATGTCTCGGACCTACGGACCATCAGCACCGGCTCACCACAGGGCTGTGTTCTTTCCCCTCTGCTCTTCTCCCTGTACACTAACAGCTGCACCTCCAAGCATGAGTCTGTCAAACTAATTAAGTTTGCTGATGACACCACCATCATCGGACTCATCTCTAATGGGGATGAGTCCGCTTTCAGAATGGAGGATGAACGGCTGGTGTCCTGGTGCAGCCACAACAACCTGGTGCTAAACACCCAGAAGACAGCGGAGGTTGTTGTGGACTTTAGGAAACACACACACCCCATCCCCCCCTTAAACCTGTCTGACACTCCCATCACGATGGTGGACTTATGTTGCTTCCTGGGCACCACCATCACCCAGGACCTCAAATGGGAGCCCACCATCACCACCATCAGAAAAAAGGCCCAGCAGAGGATGTACTTCCTGAGGCAGCTGAAGAAATTCAACCTATCACCACAGTAAATGAGGCATTTCTACACCGCTATCATCGAGTCCATCCTCACCTCCTCCATCACCGTGTGGTACGCTGGAGCTACCACCAGGGACAAGAAGAGGCTGCAGCGTGTCGTGCGCTCTGCAGAGAAGGTCATTGGCTGCAAACTCCCCTCCATTCAAGATCTGTACACCTCTAGGACATTGAGGCGTGCAGGTCGGATAATAGCTGACTCGTCTCACCCTGGACAGTCTCTTCGACTCGCTCCCATCTGGCAGAAGGCTCAGATCCATTCGGACCAAAACCTCTCGCCACAAAAACAGTTTCTTCCCCTCTACAGTTGGACTTTTGAATGGAAATCCTAGGGCAGCCCACTCAAGTTGATTGGTCCCAGTCACGTGACCCGATGCTAAGCTTGAACCATTCAACAAATACTCAGATTAATACCTACACGGAGTAGATAGTTGCTTCTCTAATTATTGCCACTTTTTACATTAATAATTTTTATCATGAGTGTTTTATTAGTTCTTATATTTGTTTATCTCTTAATTAATTTTTTTTCTATCTTACCCGCTGCACCAAAATACCGCAGCAATTTCCTAATGTTGTGACTTGGCACACATATGGCAATAAAAACTTCTGATTCTGATACAGAGGTCGTTGGCCATTTAATGATTTAAAAGTAAGTAAAAAGTCTTTGAAATCAATCCTGTAAGTTACTGAAAGCCAATGTAAATATTTTAAGATTGGTGTGATGTCATCATTTCTTTTGGTTCTGGTCCCTTGCTCTCTGTCTCTCTGCTCTGTGTAACACACAGCCTTCAGACCTGCGGAGAAAAAAACCTACAAGATGCAGAAAAAAAGGATGAACCTCCAACCTTCATATTGTCAGCAATAAACGCAGCAAAACTTAACTTTCATGACCAAAAAAACCCCCATAAAATTATTCAGTACATCAGGAGAGCAGGAACAAGTCTTATTTCTGATTTAACATTTTTTGCTTCAATTCAAACTATTTAGACTTTTGTGTTTTCATCACATTTAGCTTGTATTTTATATAAAATACCATCAGCTTTACAGGTTAGCTGTTCCTGTTTGCTTAAAAAGTTATGTTACTAACCTTCTAAAAAAATTACCAAATCATTCACATGAAGTAGATTTGTTATTCATTATTTGAAAGTATCTGATTAGTTTAACAAACTAAATACGTTTTGTTTAATTTGGTTTTCAGAATGTCACTAGTTTACTTATACTTTTAAAAAATATATACCGTAAATCCTCCAATACAGGCCGGTATTCAATTAAAGGCCGGGTCTCCAATTTTGACCGGTGTTGGAGTCAGTGGAGGTGAATAATGGCCGGTCTCTTATTGTGGCCGGGTGGAATGTGGTAACAAGCAAGTATGAGCGTCTCAGCGGCAGGGTTAGAGTCCCCAAATCAACCAGCAGGAGGCAATAGAGGTTCACACAGACCTTTATTAGGCTTTTTCTTCAACGCTTTGTAACGCTACACACACGATCCTCTATCACGCTCCTACCACACAGAGTTACGGTGTCAGTTAACCATGCTAATTCAACCCGCTCCACAGAACACACATCACCTTCCCTGTGGCTTACATAACACTAACACAACACGCAAATCAACACATAGGAACTAGCAGAACGATAGGAAACACATATAACACAATACCCAGAATGCACCTGGCTTACAACCCCAGCCAGGTCATTACACTATCAAGTTCAAAGAGAACGTGCTGATTATGCTGCAGAACACTCTGGGGAGCAGCAGTAGGGGTTGTATGAACTAGTCAACTTCACTATAGTGACTTTTTATGCCTGTCGTCGACTAGTCGCGGTCACGTGATAATGACCGGCAAGATGCAGCCCTCGGAAAAGACAGCAGCCTGCTGTCAGCAGCTGACAAGCTCCCGCGCTCGGGGGGTGGGGGGCAACGCGCTGTGCCAGACCGTAGGTACTGAAACGCGATCGTTCATGTCGGTTCATTTCCTTTAATGTTTTCTGTCTTTTATTTGCGCCTGATGTGTATCGCTGCTGTGGAGCGGGGCGCTTCACCTTGACCTCCGACGCACTGATCACTGATGCGGCCTCCAGGCAGGGAGCGCTCCGCTGTTTTCGCGGTCGGTAGATCTGCCTCCTGAGCATGGCCACAGTAACAATCAGGTGTCGCCACCTCAAAAACTAATTTAACACGCGATCGTTCATGTCAGTTCATTTCCTTTAATGTTTTCTGTCTTTTATTTGCACCTGATGCGTTTCGCTGCATGCTGTGGAGCGGGGCGCTGCGCGCATCACCTTGTCCTCCGACGCACTGATCACTGATACGGCCGCCAAACAGCGAGCGCTCCGCTGTTTTTGCGATCGGTAGATCTTTTAGAACTGCAGTTCAAAGGTAACTCATGTGGTGAATATATATGAACCCAGGTAGCAGTTTTTCTTTAGGATTGAGAGGAGATGCAGGAAGATAATAAACAGACAGGACAGAAAAATAGTCAAATAAAAACAAGTTAGTTTTTGTACCTGTTGGTTGCAACAAACAGACACCACTGAAGGTCATCAGAAGTGAGGAACAGAAAATGAAATAATTATTTTAATGTTTAGAGCAGCAGGAACTCCGAGAGGCTGCAGGCGCATCAGTGAGTTTGCGGCCACTGCGCAGGGGGAGGGGGGAGAGGGCTGAAGCAGGGGGAGGGGGGGAGATGGCTGAAGCAGAAACTACCGTTGTTAAAAGAAATGTGTTTAACTTTGAAAATGTGGGCGCAATTTTAATTGTCAAAAACTCCAGCGAACCATTAGTTCATTTTGCTCAAATAGAAATAGAGGCCTGCCTCTAATACTGGCCCTCCTTCCAATAAAGGCCTGGAGCTTGATGAGCATGAGTCAAATACAGGCCCGGGCCTGTATTAGAGGATTTACGGTATGCTGATGTACTGAAATACAGAGAAATCAACTTGTGAGTACAATGCATGTTAATATAGTAAGTATAGCATTTTTAACATAAGCACATTCACACATGGAAAGTATCTATGTAAATAAATCATATGGCAGTAACTCTGCCGTACTTTCATTGTGTAAAAGTAGCTCACGGGCCAAAAAAGGTTGGAGACCCCTTCAATAGATCGTTCAGCCCTAGTGGACGCTTAGATGATTGTTTAAAGTTTTCTTTCGGCCAAAACTTCATCCACAGAGCTCACACGCAAAAGGCTTCTGTCATTTGTGGACTCTCATGTGTCTGTTTAAATTTGTCTTTTGGCTAAATTTCGTTTCACAGAGCTCACAAGCAAAGGGCTTCTCTCTTGTGTGGACTCTCATGTGTGTGTTTAAATGTCCCTTTTCACTAAATCTTCTCCCACAGAGCTCACAAGCAAAGGGCTTCTCTCCTGTGTGGACTCTCATGTGTTTGTTTAAATGTCCCTTTTCACTTAATCTACTCCCACAGAGCTCACAAGCAAAGGGCTTCTCTCCTGTGTGGACTCTCATGTGATTGTTTAATTGTGTCTTTCGGCTAAATCTTTTTCCACAGAGTTCACAAGCGAAAGGCTTCTGTCCTGTGTGGACACTCATGTGTTTGTTTAAACTTCCCTTTTCACTAAATCTAATCCCACAGAGCTCACAATCAAAGGGCTTCTCTCGTGTGTGGACTCTTATGTGTGTGTTTAAATGTGACCTTGTGCTAAATCTATTCCCACAGAGCTCACAAGCAAAGGGCTTCTCTCCTGTGTGGACTCTCATGTGAGTGTTTAAATGTGTCTTTCGGCTAAATCTACTCCCACAGAGCTCACAAGCAAAAGGCTTCTGTCCAGTGTGGACTCTCATGTGTTTGTTTAAACTTCCCTTTACACTAAATCTGCTGCCACAGAGCTCACAAGCAAAGGGCTTCTCTCCAGTGTGGACTCTTATGTGTTTCTTTAAACTTCCCTTTTCACTAAATCTATTCCCACAGTGCTCACAAGCAAAGGGCTTCTCTCCTGTGTGGACTCTCATGTGTGTTTTTAAATGTCCCTTTTCACTAAATCTAATCCCACAGAGCTCACAAGCAAAGGGCTTATCTCCTGTGTGGACTCTCATGTGCCTGTTTAAATTAGTCTTTTGGCTAAATCTCATTCCACAGAGCTCACAAGCAAAAGGCTTCTGTCCTGTGTGGACTCTCATGTGTCTGTTTAAAGCTGACTTTAAGCTAAATTTCTTTCCACAGAGCTCACAAGCAAAAGGCTTCTCTCCTGTGTGGACTCTCATGTGTGTGTTTAAAGCAGACTTTAAGCTACATTTCTTTCCACAGAGCTCACAAGCAAAAGGCTTCTGTCCTGTGTGGACTCTCATGTGACTGTTTAAAAGTGTCCTATGACTAAAGGATTTGTTGACAGTCCTAAAATCTGACTCTGAACACCTATTCTCATTACAGTCATTGTCTCGGTCTCCAGTTTCAGACCCAGAGTCTGACATCTCAGAGTCTAGAGTTGCATCATCATCATCATCATCATCATCATCATCATCTCCAACGTCAGTCTCTGAAGAATCAGGAGTCAGTTCATGAGGGTTCAGATCTGGGTTCCGGCTAGTTTCTACTCCACCAGTTTCTGCCGTCGTCTGGTCAGCTGAGCTGCTGGTTGAAACATCTCTGTCTTCTATTTGCTTCTGATGAAGCTGTGAGAACAGAGGCTTCTCTTCATCATCCTCACTCTTTATAGAAGCAACAGTGAATGGAAACCTAGCAGCATCAGTCTCCTCCTTCAAATGGAGATGCGCCCCTTCCATACTGGGCCAGAGTTTCTCCTCTTCCTCCTTTATGTGGAGAAAATCTAAGTCCTGCTGGTTGACACCAGCACTATGTTCTTCTTGAGCTTCTTCTTTAACCAGCACCACCTGTTGAAAAGCTGTAGGAAACACAGAAACGCATGATGTGAATTACCGACAGCTGTGACTGTGTCCGGCCAAGTAAAAGACGTATAATAACATCTATTATAAAAAGACCTTTTTTCCCTGCACACTGGACCAGGACATAAAAATTCAATGACTTGCATACTGACTAGAAAGTTTGCCCTTATAGCCTGGTGATATTGTGTGTGTGTGTGTGTGTGTGTGTGTGTGTGTGTGTGTGTGTGCGTGCGTGCGTGCGTGCGTGCGTGCGTGCGTGCGTGCGTGCGTGTGTGTGTGTGTGTCTTACATCCGCTGTGAGGACACATTTTTCACCTCTAACATGGGGACATATTAAAATTGTGAGGACATTTACTAGGTTATCACAGTGAATAAAAACCTAATTTGGTTTTAGAGGTATGGTGTGAATTAACTTTTAGTTGAGGTTAGAGTTGGGAATACAGCAACAGTAGTTACTTAACCAGACTGGTAATCTAGAGAACTGCCATTACCCTGGCCCACTCAGTGATTGCCGTCAGTCATGACATGCTTCATGTCTAAATGACCAATCCGTCATGTGACTAATCGGGCCTGTATTGGCGCTTTCACATCTGGGCAAGCACGGATCGGACTGTGTGACATTTCCTGCACCAGTAGGTTTTGTTCACACACACTTCTCATGAACGGGGAAATCTCCTAGCTAGTTGGCTGGGCCAAATAAAGCACAGAGAAAGTCAGCGGTGACTCCCTTAAACAATGGCTGTGCACCTTAAATCTCTTTGTGTGTTTCTCTGTGTGTGTGCTCCTCACAGCAGTGAGGAGCGACGCCACTTCAGTGTAGAGAATTAAACTACACACTGGAATCAACTCTGCTGCTATTCAGTTGGAGATTCCGAAAAATGACCAAGCACATTAATCTATGAAGCTTATATCATTCATAAATATCCCGGATACTTATGTATGAACTAAGTTCATACACCAACCAGTTTGGTCTAATTTTAATCCAAAGATTAACGTTTAATTTAATTAGTTAAATTTATAGCAAAAGTTATTTTGAATCAGAAGCTAAGATCTTTGCTTTACAATAACCAGAAATATACCTTTTCTGTGTTTCGTTTCAATAATGAGGCAAGTTTAAAAATGAAGAGATTTATTACTAACAATTTTAAACTTAAAGATTTGAAACAACAATTATAAAATGACAAACCATGGATGACAATGACAATTTTTAACAGCTTTGATATAAACTTGTTTTAAAAGCAAACCTGTGGCTGGATGGAAACTAAACTGAGAATACGAGTTTAGATGCGTGGATGGAATTATTAGAAGGTTTCTTTCAGAGAGTTGGAAGCGTTCTGGATGGAAATGATGGTTTGCGGCTAACTGAGTTATTTAGAGAGAACAGCATCAAACACATTCTGTCGAAGTCTACCTCACCCAATCAGAAGACCCCCGTTTTGGATCCGAAGTGTCCAGGTGGAGATGGGTTTCCTCCAGGCACGAGGTTGGTAGAAAAACCTCGAGCACGACCAAATCGGTCCTGAGATGCCTCCTTGGGTCACTCGACTGGTGGAACTATTTGCTTCTCAAAGTCCGTAACTCTCAAGGAGTGTTTGCATCTTAACTTGACTCAGAAATCAATGACTCTGGGTAGAGTCTTTGTTAGCTGGTTACAGTTGCGTTTATTCTTAGCCATTTCTTGTCGGCGTGACAGAACAGTAGGTGGAGGTTTTAGGGACGGCCGTTCCCTTCCTCCATGGTGTTGGTTCAAGAACTGGTTTGAAGCTGGTGATGGTTACAGTTTTACCAAGCTCTCAGGACACTCCCACTCTTTCCGGAAGAAAGCGTTGATCATACGTCAAAAACATGTGCTGCAGTTATGGTTTATCTGGACTCTGTGTTAGCTGGATAAGGTGAACTGACCTTCTTTGCTGAACACATCTTTTACCGTCATCAACCATAATCATAATTAATCATTATTATCCCAAAGAATAATAATTCATTTCATGTAATTAAAATACCATTATACTGAACCAAGTGATCATTTATGATGATTATATTAAACAGTAATAACATCAATGAGTTTTATTAATTATTATTATCTAATTATAATCATCGTGACTTGAAGTGTCCTCCTCCTGGAATGGAACAGCAGCAAATATGGATATGATCTTGAGCAGACATCGTGGCTCCTTGGGTTAATCTGTGGATTGAAAAGTACTGTTTGACCCAGCTTGACCCAGCTGGGTAGATGTGCCCTTTGCCACAAATTAGAGGACCTTCGGTGACGCTACATCAGTCAGAGGCGACATTGACTAAACAGTATCCATGATAATGAATTGCGCATGCAAGAAGGTCCCGCTGCTTGGTTCAATCGGCCAATCGAAGGCTCCCACTAACAGTAGGTGTTTTTTTGAACAAAGCAGACCTCCTTGGTATGTGGGCCGAAAAACCGACTGGTTTAGTGTAGAAAATTACAAGACTACCTAGATAATATGGACACTGCTATGGAAAAATTTATGTTTATTAATTCTTGATCATGGACTCAATCAACTGAATTTAAATGTATTACTCTATGCCTCTTTGCATGCTCACTTATTCAGACACACCCACACAAGAACACACACACACACACACACACATTCTTGATTTCCCACACACAGACACAATCTCTCTCTCTATTCTATAAATAAACTCTTGGACCATTCCCATTTGTCCCGGGTCAGCCCGGGCCGGGTAGCCCCAGTTGGCCCCAGCCTGACCCGGTTGATTCCACACATCCTTGTCTTAAGCCCATGTGGGCTGATTCTACCCACCAATCAGAGGCTTGCTCTAATAGAAGGTGTGAATTTGCTGTCAGCAGTGGGTGTGTTGGCCCTGTCGGCCTGAAGCAGACCGCCTCGAGAAGAGGGCTAAGAATGAGCCTTGGTTGGCCCGGAAAAATACCAGGCCACCCAGATATGTAAACAACCTAAGCTACCTGGCCCGGGCCGACCTGGTACAGATGGGAATGGCCCATCTGTGAACAGAAGTTCGGAGCATTTTGCCTCGTGCATTATGCCACAGTTATAACTGTTTGACTTGTCTGCTCATTGTCTCCTTCTTTCTTCACTATAGAGCTCCGGGAGTTGACGTCACTTCTCCCGGCATGCAACAGTTTAAATCGAAACGGCACCATATTGGCAGGCAGAAGCCCACAGCTGGACTATTTGTTATTGTCAGAAAACTCAATCAAACGGGAAATATGGTAGACTCCTGTTGTGCCCCAGGATGCAGAACAGACATGGACGACATAAGGAATGAGCCATCTACAGGATTCCCCAAGATACGGAGTGCCGCAAACGTTGGATCATTGTAATAAAACGCACTAGTGACCGGGCTGAAATTAACTGTGGGAACCCGAGAGTAAAGGTTTTCACTTATGCAGCGAACACTTCATATCAGGTACTTAAACCGACATTTCCTCAACTGTGTATGGTATTTATTTTAAATGATTTTAGTACGATTCTTAGTGGGCTTCCTAAACTTATTTTGTCATGGCTTTTTCTGTCTTATTACTCATAGCAGCAAGTAAACATCACGTAAAACGTTGCCTCGTGAGTTCTGAGTGCTGCCGTTTACGTGTTTTATGATCACAGCAATTAACCGGCTAAGCTGTATTTAATTTTTAATCAATGGTTGATCAATTGTCAGATCACACATAAAAAGCACTTTGGATTGCTATTATCTGTCTCACCGAGACAGATCTCAGACAGATCCTGAGACGCTCCTGCCTGACATATTTATTTTATTCACGGGGGAAAAATCAAACTAGTGATTTCTCTTAGTGGTCAGTTTATACATTTAAACAGCACAGCACTCTATTTAAACTACTTACATGTAAATCTGTTATTTGTCCATCCATCCATTTTCATCCGCTTATCCGGAGTCGGGTTACGGGGGCAGTAGCGTCTAGAGGCCCAGACTTCCCTCTCCCCAGCCACTTGGGCCAGCTCCTCCGGGGGAATCCAAGGGGTTCCCCGGCCAGGTCCGGTAAGAAGGCTGCTCCGACAGCTTCTGGCATTTTTAAAAAGTATCCCAGAGGCATGGTAATGGTCAGAGATGTTTAGTCTATTAAATTTCTGACTATATAAAACGATTTCTTCGGTTTTAAAGTGTGAAGTAAACTCCGACGAAGTAAAATCCAAGCCGATCCCGTTCAATTTGTTTACATTTGTTGCCTGCCAACATGGCGTCTACTCTCTGAGAGTCACGTGACGTCCGGAGCTCTATAGGAAGTGGGTTATTGGTAAACATATTGATAAAATCCATGACATAATGTGCTCCTTCGGAAGCCGGGGTTCCATTGCCTCGTGGCGCCAGGAGCTGACAGCGGAAAACTGTCGACAACCTAAATCTCCTCCAGCGCTGTGCTTTCGCTGGGGGTCGGTGTGAGGATCTTGACGTCGCTGGCTGGGGGGGGGGGATCCACGAACTACTCAAGACCTGAGTGGAGAGATTGGGTGAGGCAAGTTTATTGCTGTGTTGTGGTACCGAGAGAAAATCCTAGGTGACCAAAGGTCAAAATTTGGTGTCGTCCGCCTTGAATGGGATGGTTTTAAGCAGATTCCTGGAATGCTGTTTTGGTATGGTTGAGAGATAAATGGACTGGTGTGATAACTGAGAGGCGGCCTAAGTGAGAGGTGGCCTGGCTTCGAGCGTTTAGCCTCAAATAGAAACGCAACTCCAGTTGTCATTGTTAGTTGTGTGTTTTAGCCGGAGAATTAGAAACGTGCTCTAGTTATCTGTGTTGATGTTTGTTGTCTTAGATGTTGTCTGCCTTAATTGTTGTTTGGATAAATGAGAGAGTGTGTGGATTTGCTTTGTATGTGTGGTATCTATGTATGGGGGAATAAGAACTCACAAACACCTTTTGAATGAGAATGGGACATTGACGGAAATGTAAATCCAGCAAATGGGGAAAATCATCAGAGGATTGATGGAAAACATGTTTTGCTGGTATTTTGGCAACCGCTGACGA